GATCAGGCACTGGATGAGGAGGAACAGGTGGAGAAGGTGGAGGACTTCTTGCGTGCAAATACATCATTGGCAGGGACACCCTTGGAGAATGCGGTGTTGGACATCCTCTGGCGCCATCGCAATCGAAACTTGCCAGACGCATCGCCTCCAGTCCGTCATACTGTGATTCGCCGCTCATCGCCTGCGCCATGGCAGATGGCTCGATCATCTACACCGCTATCCCCTCATTCAACTTTGGGGACAAGCCCTGGAAGTACCTCGTGGATGCAAAGCTCCCGTGGGCCGTTCTCGCGGCCTCCGCTATCTTCTACTGCCTCCCCATTTGGCTCTCCACGCCCGTCGCCCCGGCTCGCCCTTGCACAGCCTATCCCTCATTCTCCAAATCTGAATGCCTACGAGTTCTCGGACCAAAGCCAGATCTCTGACTACTATGGAGACCTTGGGGGCGATAACAATGTTGACTGGCTAGTCGCAGATGATGCCAACAGTACAACCTCATCCACGGGTGGTGTCAGCACCCCCGGGGCACTCAGCGCCACTGCGGTTGAATTTGTTCCAGATATGAGCCCACATGATATCCTGCGCACGGTGCTGGGTGACAAGCGATCGAACGATGAAATAGAAGCTGCACTGGAGGCTAACAGTTATGATCTCGGTGCCACCATTGCTTCGTTCTCGCAGGATATAGAATCCGAGGCGATCTCAAAGCAACACGATGACGGTCGTGTTTTGGTTGGCAAGTCTATGACAATAGAACAAGTACGCCCGGTCACACCGTTGGGTAGCAGTCGCAGCCCTGTGGTCTGTAAGTACTGGCTATCCACGGGACAATGCCTTCGAGCGGACTGCCGTTTCAGCCATGACCTAAACACACATGTGTGCAAGTGAGTGTTTTTTGAAATCTGGGTAAGTCAATCGTTCTGGCGCTAACTAATGTGAATAGGTATTGGGTTATGGGAAATTGTCTAGCCGGCGATGGATGTCCCTTCTCGCACGACCCTTCAGCGCTTATCGGAAATCTCAGTATCACGGATAGTAGTCGACCAGCTTCGCCCTCCCCGTTCCAGGTAGACAGTGGTTCTGATGCATTCCCACCCCTGCAAATGGCAGATAACGGTGATCAATGGGCAAATCAATACACGGGCCGATACCCTGGCCATCTTTCTGCTTATCAACCCAGCAAATATGCGCCTCCTGGCCTCCATCCTGGAATGGGCAAAAGAAGTGGAAGTGCAACTCATCTCGGACGCCCCAGCTCCCGTCCATCAAGCCGTCACCAGAATCGGGAGTTGAATCCTGCTGCACCGTCTGTAGACGATCCAGATGCCTTCCCAACTCTTGCCGCGGTCAATGCGAAGAATGCTGGGAAAAAGCATCATGGGAAACGGGGCGGTCATAACAACCGCGAAACCGGCCCAGGCAAAGAAAATACCCCTTCGTCTCTGGCGGATGTGGTTCGAATGACCCCATCTCCTGTCCCCGGGAAAACCAAATCTGGCTCCAGAAACAAAGACACAAAGGGTCGCGAGAACAGTGCCGCAGCTCAGTCGATTCCACCTCCGCAAAATATTCCGTGGTTAGAGACAGGCTCGCGGGCGAACCAACAATATATCAAATATCGGACAGAGGCTATTCGCCACGGTACTGTGCGAAACAAGTTCCTCCAGAGGTAAGCTTTCAGCGAGTAATATTATTCCCACTCCTTCTAACGATATATCTCCCAGCGCTGCCCAAGCATGGAACCGCAACGATGCCCGAGCTGCCAAAGCATTGTCGTTACGCGGTCAAGCCGAGAACGACGCGATGCGCAGATGTCATCGGGAGGCTGCGCGCCAGCTCTACGAAGAACGTAATCAACATCTCTCTCATAAGGGACTAGATGAATCCTCGGAAGAACTCTACGTTGACCTTCACGGTCTCCACCCAGAAGAGGCTATCGAATATCTCGAGAAAATCCTACTCAAGCATGCTCGAGAAGGCCTCCGGGTGGTGTATGCCATCACAGGCACTGGTCACCACTCGAAGAACGGCAAAGATAAAATTGGCAAGGCCGTTAAAGCATGGCTGAACGAGTGGCGGTACTTGTTCCGGGAATTCAGTGTACCCGGTGAGCGAGGAGGTTATGTCGGAGGGATTCTCGGCATCGATCCAACCAGTTATGACAAGTCGGTAGCCAAGGAGCTGGCTAGCGAATTGATGGAGGCCAACGCTGGCGGAGAGCCTCCCATCCTAACCATGGGCAAAATCCAGTTACTCAAGCGCGAAGAAATAGAGACTCAAGATCAATGACCTGGCGTGTCATTCAACTCAAGATACCCCAGTACCAATCTATCTATTGAATCTAAGTTATATATAGAAAAGTCGTCTGCACAAGTTGAGCCTTTTCGCCCAAATTTGTGACTCAACCACAGGACGCAGCAGATGCATCAAGCGAACACGTCGGGTTCTTCAAGCAATATTTCTAGGATAGATTCTTCTTGGCTGCATGCTTCTATATACTAGCAAGGCTACGGAATACAATACACAGTATGAAAAAGCTCTTCTCCAGTAGATGCACTCATATAACATACTAGAAGGTACAAGGAACATGCAAGGATGTATGCGTAGATAATACACAGCGCTACATATATAAACCATCTATTCTGGTTCCTGATGCTCCCACTCGTTCCTCAAAGCATCAACATCAACCCCACAAGCCTCAGCCTTCTTAACAATAGCCCTAGCCTTATTGGCAACAGGAACATCAATCATCTTCCCATCAAGCGTCCAAGCCCCCCTCCCCGCCCTCGCAGCCTTATCATCCGCAATAACAACCCGCATAGCCCACTCAGTCTCCTGCGGATCCGGCCCAAAGATCTGATCCGCAACCTTCACTTGCGACGGATGAATACACTGCTTCCCATTGAACCCCAACCGGCGCCCGTCCAGGCACTCCTCCTGTAGCACAGCCGGCGGCGACCCATCCCCCTTCTCAGACCTGTACGCCGTGCAGACAAGGTCAATCGTCGACGGCAGCTCCGCGGCCCGCGCAGCGGTGGCTATCGCACACCGCGCGAACAGGAACTCTGTGAGCGAGGGCGTCCGCGTGAGGCTCAGGTCTAGGGCGAAGTCTTCGGCTGCAAAGATCAAGCCTTGGAGTAAGGGCGAAGCAGCGCAGATCTGGGATAGGTTTGTCAGGGACTTGGCGGACTCGACTAGAGCCAGGAGTGAGATTGGGGTTCTTGTTCCTTCTGTTGGTGGTTGCTGGGATAGAGTGTGGGTTATGACGTCTGTGACGAACGTTAGGTCGGAGGCGGAGTTGACTTTTGGGATTACGATTGTTGTTAGGTTTGGTGATTGGAGCTGGGACGGTTAGCAAGTTGAATTGAACGTTGCGAGGGTGGCGGAAGGCGGTTGGAACTATGTGTGTGTTCCGGAGTCCACTCACGACTTCGGTCAAATCACCCAATGCGAGTCCGCTGTCTACGGAATTGATTCGCACGGCGCGTTCCCTGATTCCTGGTGGCGCGGCTTGGTCGATTGCTCTCCGCACTAGCGAGCGCGCCTCTGCTTTCATGTGCGGAGTCACACTGTCTTCCAGGTCGTAGGTGACGCAGTCGGCGGTCAGTGAGCGCGACTTATCTAGAAAGCGTTGGGAGGAGCCGGGGACTGTTTGGCGTTGTTGGTTAGCTTTGGGGTTTTTCTTTTAGAGTTCGGGGTGAAACGCGGGGAAGACCTCGGGATGCGATGCGGCTTTGGAAGGGAGCTCGAGCTTACCGTAGAGGAGGGAACGACGGAGAGTATTTCGGGCTGCCATTGTCGATCTGGTGATTTGTGTGTGTATCCAATGGTATAGAGTTGTGTACTGTAACTCTTGGAGAGTGGAGTTGAGGCCTTTATGGGGTTGACTCGGGAAGAAGCCGACTCGGCTATCCGTAAAGCCGCTTTGGGAGAAGGTTAGCAAAGTTGTTTTCTCCTTGATATTTCTTTTTCGTAATCTGTTGCAATTTATGAGATTGTCTAGTGATAGCTCTTCTTACTATGCTAACAAGCAGTTCATTTAAATTAGAGAACTCAGTCATTAGTACTCCTTAGCGAAGCTTGATTTAGATATATATTCTTGCAAGTAAATGTATTTTCTACATATTCCAGATCTCAACTTTATGTCATTAGGTATCCCAGTCCCATTCACCTAGCGCTATATTTCTAGAGTATATCACAGGCAGCATTCAACAAACATCAAACGCTAGTATTACACAAATATGCTGAACACCAGAGGTACTCCAGAGAGTAGTTTGGAGCGGATACATACAACGAAGATCAACTCAGCTTTGAAGAAGAGCACATCATCAGGGAGGAGGAACATATTGTAGGTGAATCAAAGAGTCATTAGTGAGTGCCACAAAAAGATAACTATAGTAAATGTTTTCCTAACTCTCGCCTATAATAAGCTAGTCTAGATGGTACTTGAATCACCCGATAACTACCATATACTCATGTACTTCATCCTCTGCCTGTATGGGTACTGCGATGTGCCTTTTCTACTACTTCGGCCTCCTTGTGATTTTGGTGCAGAGGTCTTAAACTCGGTATAGATCAGTGTCTTATCGGTTTAGCGCCACATACGTTGGACATAACGTGTGGCTGACTGGTATCCACTCAGTATAGTCACGTGAATACTTTTAAAAATTGTCCAGAAGCAGAAGTAATGATCAGATCTTCTTATAGATCATCTTTAACAATCCTGAAATGACTGAAATTCTCACAATATGCTAGGATATATCATGCAGCTCTAGCTAAGTAAATATCACACATCATCAACAAATATACTTCTTAAGGTTGGTCTATGCTTCCGCCCTGGCATTGATTATTCTGCCATAAGAAACCGCCTATACCCGTGTTTCGACCACATAGGGAGCATCGCTGGTCAACAACAGGCTTAACTTGGATTAAATTGACCCAATCTACTGACCGAGAGGTCCTTTACATTCATACCATATCAAACCCCCGCCCTGTGAATCATGGACCAAGGACAAGGAGGCCAAGGCGAGCTCAACTGGCGCCTCAGCGCGCACCCGATCACGCTACTTGTCTTCTTAAGTATTCGGATCGGTCCGTACTCCCCCGCCCCGAGTAAAAGCAGCAAGAATGGTTTGGCTAACTTGATGATTAGGTGCGCTACTGATGTACCTATTTGGTGTACTCTTCATCAACAACTTGTATGGAACCTGCGAACTACCCGCTTGTCAACCTGCGATGCTAACGTTCATATAGTATCCTCGTCTTCATTTTCACCCTCCTCCTCCTCTCCGCGGATTTCTATTACCTCAAAAACATTGCGGGACGCCGGCTGGTCGGCCTACGTTGGTGGAACGAGGTCGACACCTCAACCGGCGACTCACAGTGGGTCTTCGAATCAGCCGACCCTAACGTTCGCACTATAACCGCCACCGACAAGCGGTTCTTCTGGCTGAGCTTGTATGTAACACCAGCTCTGTGGGTAGCCCTTGCCATATTGGCTATTGTGAGACTTGTCGGTGTCATTTGGCTCAGTTTGATTGGTAAGGCACTCCTAAGATACTTTGATATATACCGGCACTAGGTATTGACTTTGGTTTAGTTATTGCACTCATCTTGACTATCACGAATACCATGGCCTTCTCTCGCTGTGATAAGTTTGGTCAGGCCTCGACATATGCCAACTCGGCTCTGGGTGGTGGTATTGTGAACAACATCGCTGGTGGCCTGCTGGGCAGGCTATTCCGGTAATGGTAGGCAGGTTGATGCCTGTCTTGCCGTTAGTGGCCCTACATTGTCATTCCTCTTGTATGTGCTCTGTATTTCTAGCAGAATATTTGACCACTTAGCATTCAAATGCATCAATTTCTTTCAAAATATGGTCTCATTTGTAGCTCTAATGTGATTGAGAACCCGGTCTAATGTAAGTGCTTTATCTCTAGAGCCGTTGCCTCAGGTAGGTCAACGCATCGCTCCTTCCTCAAACACGCAGTTTCCACCGCAGCGGCACCTGCCGATTGTCCTTTGTTTACCTTTCCCTCCTCTTCTCTCTTCCTCTCTCTCTTCTTCTTCCTTTTCCTATTCTCCATTGCCTTCAATCATCATCGACAAACAGCCTTTGCGTCTACTGCGCATCAAAAACCACGTTGGTAAGTGTCGTTCTTAGTGTTGACCTTGCACCATCTCTCTCGATGACCTTAGGAGAGCGATCCAGATGAAAATATCGTGTTTCGATTCTCCTATGTGTCTTGTCTCATATGCCTCTGCCTTCTCTCACCCCTCCCTGGCCCTCCATCCATCCATTTTTTGACTTTCGCGCTTCCAACCTTTACCCCAGTGAAGGATACTTTCACGACGACAAGACTGTTTTGGGGAATTTGACTAACGAGCCTGTTTATAAAGTTGACCAAAATGGAGACAAATATCCATGAAAACCGGGATGATGATTTCACCTGCGGACAGTGAGTTCTCCCCTCCAAGATTCTAGCTTTCAAGGCTCGGGACATCCCCCCGAGAAATTCAGTCACTTACAAACTCTAGATGCGGTGGATCTGGCCACATGACTCGTCAGTGCCCGAATGACTCTCTTCCTCTGAGACAGAGAGACAGCAATGCAGGGTAAGTTGGTCCGGCACTTTCCATGCCACATTCTGCCAACTCATCTAACCAATGCTGAAACATAGCGATGCCTATGGCAACTACGGCGACGACAATGGTGGAGGACATGGTGACTACTCCGGTGGAGGTGGTGACCGCGCTTGCTACAACTGCGGCCAAGAAGGGTAAGTCGTTGATCTCTGTGTGCTTGCCCAATTGTACTGACAACAATGCAGTCATAGCAAAGCCGACTGCACCGAGCCTCGCAAGATGGGGGCATGCTTTAATTGTGGCCAGGACGGGTGAGTTATTATTGAACATCTTGTGTGTTACGGCGTTAATTATTCTCTTGAAACAGTCACTCCAAGGCCGAATGCACCGAGCCTCGCAAGATGGGCGCTTGCTTCAACTGTGGTGAAGAAGGGTGAGTAATTGCTGAGCATTTTATACTTTAGTTTGCTAATTGGCTCTAAATACAGTCACTCCAAGTCCGAATGCCCTAGGCCTCGCGTGTTCAGGGGTACCTGCCGTATCTGCGAAAAGGAAGGCCACCCAGCGGTTGATTGTCCCGAGAGACCCCCCGATGTTTGCAAGAACTGCCAAGCTCAAGGCCACAAGACGATGGAGTGCAAGGAGAATCGCAAGTTCGATCTCAACCTTGTTGCTGACATGCTACCCCAAGAAGGTTGGGCTGCAATGAAGAAAGCCAGTGACGAAAGGGATCTTGATGATTTCCGAGAGGTACCAGAAATCCACACGTACCTTGAAAGTTTCGAGCTTTTGCTGACCTAACTCCAGGCACTTAAAATCTACTCCAAGGCAGTCCCCAATGCCACCTGGGCAGATATTGAGAAGAAGATGCGAGAGGATAATTTCAACATCTACATCATTGCTATGGTAATCAATCATCATCGTTCTGATACTTGGGGATGAATTGCTAATGAATGAATTCTAACTATAGGAGACCGAAGTTGACGATGTCATGAGCCTTATCGATCTTCAGGGAGTGCTTGATCGTGAGTACGTGATTGGATTCTTTTTCAACCCCAAGGCGTCGCGTGGCCACCTCCGAGACCGTTGGCCTGCAGATGCCGAGGAGAACCTGGAGCGCATGAAGAGCGCCGGTATTCCCTACGAGCGCAAGGTGCCTAAGTGCTTGAACTGTGGAGGTAAGTGTTTATTTTGATTGCAGATTCCTTATAACGTTGCTAAATCCTATTTAGAGTTGGGACATATCTCCCGCAGTTGCAAGGAGGAGCGCGCGGAGGGCAACGATCGTGTGGAAATCAAGTGCTCAAACTGTGAGGGAGCTGGACACCGCGTACGCGATTGCAGACAGCAGCGCAAGCACAAGCATGGTTGCCGTAACTGCGGGTATGTGGCTGTGGTGCAAACAACGAACTGGATAATGCTGACTTTTATGAAGATCTATCGAGCATATTGCTTCTGACTGCACCGAGCCCCGATCTGCGGCTGGTGTTGAATGCCGGAGATGCAACGAAAGTAAGACCTTGCCCAAGATGATTCAAATATTTCATGATGCTAATGTATCTATTTCAGCTGGCCACTTTGCTAAAGATTGCCCCACTGTTGCTGACCGTGGCCCTCGCACCTGCCGCAATTGCGGGTATGTTAAAATATCACAGCCCCTGCGATTGTTACTGATTCTAACATCAATACAGATCCGAAGACCACATCGCTCGCGACTGTGATCAACCTCGTGACGTTTCGACTGTTACCTGCCGCAACTGCGAAAAGAGTAAGTGCGATGCATGCCCCGAAGAGTTTCTTTTCTTTGGCCATTGTGTACTGGAAACAATACTGACAACTGCTGTTTTAGCCGGACATTACTCTCGTGATTGTGATCAGCCGAAAGATTGGTCGAAGGTTCAGTGCAAGAACTGCGGAGAAAGTGAGTTGATATACGCGTTTTTAATACTGAGTTAGTCCGCTAACAATCTCTTAGTGGGTCACACTGTTGTCCGTTGCCGCCAGCCGCCTAAGGAGGAAGAGCCGCAAGACGAACCCACTTTCTCCCCCGGCTCTCCCAAGCGCGAGGAACCTGACCTGCTGGACTCAGAGGCTACCGACCAACAGTTCGAATACAAGCGCCATGACGACGAGGACCTCTGGTAAAGAACACAATTCTATGCCAGAATGGGGTGACTGGAAAGCTCTAAAAGCAACAGCGATTTGGTTTCCCTTTCTCCCACGTTATGATCGGCCGCGTGTGAGACTTGTCGGGTGTTGACTGTTCTTGGGATGCCTCACGGTGGCCTAAGATGGGACAATAATCTGATGTTACATATGGGGTCTATCTTTGCTGCTCTCTTTTTTTCAAATCTCGCGATGTGTTTTGATGTTTGCCAGGATTTTACCCATGAGTTTACGATGATTGCTGACCGGCCGATGGTCTCAAAGGAGGATATTTGTTAAGACTTTTCATGCTCTGTTGAGCTCGATTTGATTTGACGCGCCCCTGGATGAATCTGAGGATGGAGGGTCTGGGCAGGAGGCTCTAATCTGGGGACATTTCTGATGTTCATTGTTATCTGACAAGTTCAATTTCAATGGAACATCCATTTAGTGCATTCTTCTTGACTCATTGTAGACCTAGTAAGATCGTTTGAAGTTGAATGCTACAGGAGTAAGTGGATGACGGCACCAGCTGTAAAGTGAACCGGAAAAAAACAATACTTCGCGCAATGATTCCGACTTGTATCATACTCGGTGTTCCTCAGTTCGCTTTACTTGGAGTGCCTGCCATGATTTCCGATGTCAAACCACAATAACCCTGGAAGCAAATTCCCGTCGATCATTGACTGTTACTTCCTAGTCGATCATCGTTTTAAGCACGTTGTTATTGTATTTACCACGTCATTACCGGGTTGATGTATCGTAGGCCGAATCCGGGATTCCGGTGCCCTAACTGGCTCACTCTATCTACTCGGATTAGCAAGGTTTGGCTTTTCTTGAAATATTGTATTAAATAGTTAATAGCTATTATTATTGTCACTCTATTTACTTAACATTTAAAGCGATTGACTGCATATTTGGGTAGCATCACGTAAATACAGAGTTGCAGTTAGGCATATCCGAATCGGGCATCCCGTGCTCTCGGCTACCCCGTGATTCGGCCTGTGCCGAGTTATAGATTTTTGTGTGACAAAGAGGAAGGAGTCTGAAATCCACTTGCGTAGGATCAAACCATCTACCTGTTTTGGACATTGTAGACTCACCTACCTCGCCTAGGTAGTTAGGTGCTAATTGCCGATGATGTCATTACCGGCTTCGGCTATAGCCGGTTTGACGAGCAGGTTTTTCGGGACCTGAGGCCGGTCCGATGTGAGGCTTAGACGGAAAGTTCGTGACCCCTTGTCACCATCCCTGCCAAGTGTGCTTGGCGATTCAACGGTGAAGAGAAGATAAAAAATCGAGTAGTAAGCGCAAGGTAGGAAGCGCAAATTGTACGCAGTATTTTGAGCCCAAATTCGTGTCCACAGTAATATGTCTTGTGCACATACGGAGTACTCCGTAGTCCTTTCAGCGACGATCAGCGGAGAAAAAAAAATGGAGAGTCCGGGGGAACTGGAGAATCTCCAGGTTTCCGTCAAATGCAACCCCAATTGAATCCCAACAATGTCAAAAGTACCCCGAACCACGCGAGATCCTGTGAACCGTGCAACTGTCATACACTTCATATCATCGACGGAAACAGACCGTCCATGAGTCCGTCGGTGCTGTCGAGGTCTAGAACTGATACCATCACAAATATTACCGTATTAAGACAGTACTGTCACCGATACCGGACGGAGACCGACTTAGCCATGCGAGCCCCCTCGCATGGCCAACTACGTGCTCCTCCTGACGCCGAATTGCCAGGTGGATCCCTTCGAAACCTGGAGGCATACCGATGATCACCCACTCTCTCATCTCGGCTGTCAAGATGGGGTATAGTGGCTCGCTCCCCCGATCAGGCCATGGTGTAGGCATCGCCAATGCAACGTTGCTACTGCTTCTCATTGGCGGCTTGCATCTTGCTGGTTCTGACTTGATATTAGATGTGGATACTCTCCTTGTTTGACTGCGAGGTTCATAACCTGGCCGGTTTCCCCGGACCTGGTTGTTTCGTTGTTGGATTTTCTTTTCTCTGC